CTGTGTGTGTGTGTGTGTGTGTGTGTGTGTGTGTGTGTGTGTGTGTGTGTGTGTGTGTGTGTGTGTGAATGAGACGGGGTAAACAGCTAAGTGACTTTCCATGTGCTCTGTCATGGTTTGGTTGAAAACAGACACACAGACAGAGAAAGGGAGTGAGAGGAGAGAGGACGTGAAAAGGAAGCCCGTCCAGACAGTGTCAGATGACATCATCCTCTCTAATAACTTCTGTGTGTGTGTTTGTGCGTAGGTGGGGGGGCGGGGCTTCGGACCATCCAGCTCTGCGCTATAAAGAGAAGAAACTCATTCAGACGTTCACACTCAAGCAGCAGCAGCAGACTGAAGCTGAAACAACTAACACTTGCTGAACTAAATCTGAACCATCTCAACCATAAGGTAAGAATTCTACTTATCTAATTATGAAGACTTTTGGAAAACCTAAAATGAAAACACTGGCAGATATTTTATATTTATTTTAGGGTGCAATTTTTTTATTCACCGTCAATTAAGAGCAAAAAGGTTTCATTTCATGTGACTTTCAAGGGATAACATGGTGGTTTTATATATATATATATGCAGATGATAGCATTATGTAAAATAATATAAGACTACAGTATTAAAAGATGGTACCAATAAGAGGTGGCATCTTTAACAGCATCCTTCACTGAAAATTGACTTTAATTAAATGTATTATGTCACCAGATTTCACATAACTGTAAAGCAATAATATTAAGTTGAAATAAATGATTGGTTCAACTTAATATTATTGCTTTCAACTAACCTAATTCTATTATGTGTATTTTGTTGACATAATACATTTAATTAACCCTAAGTTGCATACTGTAAGTGGGTCTTTTTTGACCCGGTGAGGTGGTTTTCTTGAAGTATCTTTGTAATTACATTTTTTTATCATTTCATATTCCAGCTATTCCTCAAAAAACATGTTTTGGATATCGTGCCATTCACATTTTAAATTGACATTTTATACATTTTAAGAAATTGTAGTTTTTGTATTACTACCCCAAGCTTCCATAAGTGGGTGAAAAATGTGCCGCATGCATTTCCTATGGAATCCTATGGGAACCTTTGATTCTTATCACCTGTTGCTGTCAGGAATACATTCACTGTAGACCACACAGACTACATCACAAGTGACACTAAACTTGATCAACCGGCATGGATTGATGGGGGGTGGGCTATGAGTAGACAAAAGGAGAAGAGATGAGTTTTGAAAAGGGACTGGGATACTGTGAGGGTCTCAGAATAGCGGAGATCTTTGCATCAATATGTTCAAAACGTTTTTTTTCAAAATGTAAAAATAAAAAATAAAATTATAAATAGTAAAAAATTAAATATAAAATATTTCTAGTGTGAACCAAAATATAATACTAAATATTATACAAGTGATTTTTCTTAACCAAAATGACAAAAATGGCATAAAAACACATATTATTCTAATACAGGTCCTTTTTGAAACACTTATGGAAGAGTGTAGGGTCCAGTCACTCGTGCATCGAAGGGTTAAAGTCAACGAATTAAGTTTTTCAGTGCAGAAAAGGTACTAAAAACTCTTAATTCTACTGATGTGGTGGAGGTATAGTCAGTTCGATCCCCTTAAAAGACTTTCAATTAGTTTTATACCACATTAAATACTTGTTGTGGTGGAAAGTAACAAATTCTGAGTCACTACAGTTACTCTAACCATGGCAGGAAGTAGTAAATCAGGTCTTCTCTGAGCTACTTTTGAAGGCTTATGCAAACAGAGCTGAGGTCAGCAGCGTCTCTGATGCTGCTTCATGAAGTCCAGCTCCTCTTCAAACACAGTACACTCTATTGATGTCTGCAGTGGAAAACCAATGTTACCGGCACACACACACACACACACACACACACACACACACACACACACACACACACACACACACACACACACACACACACACACGCACATTTTCCAGCTGACACACAGATGTGATTGTGTACACAGTCAGCATGAGTCACACATGTCTGAATATCTGGGAAGATGGAGTTTGAATGTGAGGTCCACAGGTTTAAAGCACAGGAGGATTTATTGTAGGCAGATGGAGGCTGGATGTGATCACATATTTATCTTGTTTTGTAATGCAAAAATATATTTATTATCGTGGGAATCTGACATTTTAAGTATATGCAAATTCTTTATTTTATGATTTTCCTGGAAGCTAAAGAATTTCTTTGGAATTTTGCCTTAGTCACAACATTTGATTCAAAACATCTGGAAGCTGTTTAAAGTCTCTCAGTGTTGAGCAATTCAAAGTACTTATGGTATCTTCTTAATGGGAAACAGACACAATGTGGGGTGCATTGTTTTTCAAGCTTCTTTATCCCTGACATTTAACATATTTCTACTCCTTTGGGATAAAGTGCTATGGATGCCAGTCACAGTGTGTACTAATACAACAACATATGTTTGTTTTTGTTAAAATATGAATACAATTAAATGAAGGTTTAACTTTTAACTGTCTCAATTGTACCCGAAAACCCCACCTCAATCCAACTTACACCTTCTCTCTTCTGCCTGTCCTTCCCAGAATGCTTTGCGTGTACGTCTCCCTGCTGCTGGCTCTGAGCACAGTGGGGCTGGGCTCTCTGACGGACAGACAGACGGACTTCGGCCTGAAGGTCTTCTCCCAGCTGGCCCGGGACTCTGTGGATCAGAACGTGGCCCTGTCCCCGTACGGCGTGGCCTCCGTCCTCGCCATGGCTCAGACCGGCGCCGCTGGAAGCACCCGGAAGGCCCTGACCTCTGCCATGGGCTTCTCTCTGCAAGGTGAGACACATAGAATAAAGGATGGAGGATTTGATGTGGTGCAAAACCAAACTATAACACTGTGCAGGAAGAAAAAACGAAGAAAAAAGCATGCACTCGGCTCTACAACCATTAAAAAACAATGTTTTACAGATACAGTATACAACTTATTCAATATTAAGGGTAGACACCGCAGGTTAAAAGGGTTAACATTTTAACTTATACATATCACCATGACACTTTAACGTGTTGAAGTGCAAACGTAGCATTTTCAAATGGTTACTTTTGGTGAATTAAGGAGAAATCTAGAGAAGTAAATAGCCAAAGTGTATTAAAAAAACACCTTAATGTCTAAAAGAAGACAATGCTATGGAGGTGAAATCACCCAAAATCTCAAAATGTGGCAGTGTATGAAAAACGTTTTTGCTTAGGGTGTATTGGGCTTTACATACAAGATGAATAAAGCCAATAATAAACCCATTTTAATAAGTTACATGACATGGTGACAAAAAAGAAGTGCTATGGAGGAAATAGACCTGTGGATGAGGTCAACTCGAGCATGGGAGGAGGGAAATATAACGGTGTATTATTGTTGTAAGATGAGTGGCAAACCAACCCTGACCTCTTGTCCCGCAGAGCGAGGAATGTCCCGGCAGCAGCGCCTCCTGCAGCGGGACCTGTCCAGTGAGGAGGGGGTGGACACTGCCAGCGGGGTCATGGTGGAGAGGAAGATGAGTCTGGAGAAGGGGTTCCGCCGGGCCCTCACCAAGGCCTTCCAGACCCACCCCAACCAGGTGGACTTCACCAAGCCAGAGCAGGCGGTCAACATCATCAACTCGTGGGTCTCAGACCACACCGGAGGTACCTACCGTAGAGATGTTTACTTAAAGTGCTGACTTCTTCTGAATAATTCCTGACTCATTTGTTGATTTTTTATTCTGCAGGTGAGATCCCAGAGTTCCTGGCGCCTGGTTCTCTGAGTGACGAGACCCGCCTGGTCCTCCTGAATGCCCTCCACTTCCAGGGCCTGTGGAAGGTCCCCTTTGACCCCAAACTGACCCAGGAGAGGATGTTCCACTGTGCCAACGGCAGCAGCGTGCCCGTGCACATGATGGGACTCACCAACCGCTTCAACTATGGTATGTTCAACACCCGGGCCCAGTCAGAGGCGGAGGAAGTACTCAGATGTTGTACTTGAGTAAAAGTAGAAGCACCAGAGTGTAGGAATACTCTGTTATAAGTAAAAGTCCTGCATTCAAAATGTCACTCAAGTAAAAGAAGAAAGTTATGTATTTTATGTTTTGATTATAATGATTGATCATTAAAGTGTTCTCAAAGCTGGTAGAGGTGCAGCTAGTTTGAATGACCTTGTATTCTGCAGGGTAGCTTGTGGATTTACTCCAGGTAGAACTAAAGTCTGATTTAAGACTTGTATATATTTCACATCATTCATCCACATCTGCAAAGTAACTAAAGTTATTGAAAAAAAATTGTCCAGTAAAAATAGACAATTGACTTCTGAAATGTGGTACATTACAGTTCTTAAGTCAATCTACTTAGTTACTTTACACCACCAGCGTGCTTGACTGGAAGATGACACTAATAAAAAAAACGTTCTCCTATATCAACAGGCGAGTTTGTGACAACCGATGGCGTTGACTATGATGTCATTGAGGTCCCGTACGAGGGTGACTCCCTGAGCATGCTGCTGGTGTCGCCCTTCGAGCCTGAAGTTCCTCTGAGCACGCTCAGTGCAGATCTGAGCAGCCAGAGGATGAAGCAGTGGAGAACAGAGCTGAGGAGTGTCAAGAGACAGCTCGCCATGCCCAGGTAAGGGAGGACGGGTCAGAGAGTATGGGTAGATAAGAGGAAATTAATGAAAATATACTTTCTAAGTGTAGTTGTATTGGTTGTTTGTGTCATATGAATTGTTTAGTGGATACCATGGGTTAAATTATATTACTATGTGTGTTTCTACAGGTTTACTCTGAACTCTGAGGTGGATTTGAAGACTTGTCTGATCAACATGGGTCTGGGAGACATGTTCAACCTGGCTACTGCTGACTTCTCACGCATCACCAGTAAGTTAAAATCCTAAGTTAACCTTGAACTTTACCATTCAAGTATATGAGCATGTTATTTTCCAGAATGAGTGGAAAGCCTTCTGATAAGCAATATATCTAATCAATGTGTTTCTGCCCTCCAGCTGATGAGAGGCTGTGTGTGTCGAAGGTTCTACAGAGAGTGAAGATCGAGGTGAATGAGCAAGGAACCAAAGGAGCAGCAGCAACAGGTAGACCCACTACTGAAACTCTTCCTCTCTTACACACACACTAACTCACAACCGTTTTTTACCAAGGGAAATGCTGAGTCAAATGTTAAATAAAGGATGCAACATAAAAACAAAGCTGCAGTCAAAGCCAGCAAATCTTAATAAAGTATTTTTTAAATCTTTTTTAACCATACACATTAAGATTATTACAACATACAAAAGGATACACACAACAACATCACACTACTAACATGCTAACACTGAGTCACAGGTTTAATCAAATGACTGTAAACACAATTTACATTAGACAAAATGGTATTCTGGAGTATCCAGGGCTTCAGGCATAAACCTCCAGACTCTGACCTGGTTTTTTATTTCTCCCTCCTTTAGCTGCTGTGATGTTTTCCCGTATGGCAGTGGAGGAGCTCACTCTGGACCGACCCTTCCTCTTCCTCATCCAGCACAAACCAACAGGTAACACTCTTTTTTCACATTTTATTTTAAAATCCAATTTTAGAAGTATTTATCTGACCTGAGCGTGTGGGATGGTGTGTCTAATGTCTGACTTCCTGTGTTCAGGTGCTGTTCTGTTCATGGGCCAGTTCAACCAGCCTTAACAACATGAACCCACTCTGAAGACCCGCCTTCATTCCACTGCGTCTGACTACTGCTGCTCACACTCCACATGACGACCATACACACACCACACCTACTGTACACAGTTTATATGACTTATTACGACTCAATAGACTTATTCACTGACACCTTTATTTATAAGATACTTAATACAAGAAGACTGGGGAAAATGGATACACGCATGTATTACAACAGAAATTGGAAGCATTACTGACTGGGAGTTTATTTGTTTGTTGTTATTTATTTCTCTAAATGACTAAAGAGAAAGAAGTATGAAGGAAAGTTAAGTAATTGAGTATTTTACTGTTGTCTGACACAACAGGCACCGATGCACTGCAGTACTAAAACAAGATGTATGTTTATCTATTTTTACAATGTTATTTCTAATATCTATTTTTGTTATTTCATTGTTGTTGCCAAATAACATTTGTATTTTCCTGTATTTATATTTATTAAAATACTATGTTTTTACAAAAATGCAGACTGTGATTACTCGAGTGTTAAGATCTGTGGAAGGTAAACACTGACCTCTGGTGTTTAAACAGCCTAAGTAATGACTACCCTCTTTGAACTGGGTCATGAAAAACATACTTTTCCAGTGCTTTTGCACATTTATTTGGCTTTTTTTTTGTGTGGGCTCAAAAAATGGGTCATGCCATTCCGAATTGGCTCTTCTTCCCATATCACATACATGTCCATTATAATAGAACTGATTTAATCAAATCAAAGACTGGGCTTTTCCTCCATACCCAAATCTCTTAAAAAGGGGCTGCAACGGATCTGATACAAACGGATCCAGATTTGAACACTTCTCTGACGTCACAGAAGTGGCGCTACGGCTATTGGGCCAACTCCACCAATCAGGAGGAGACAGCCACGGACATTGCCGTTCAAAAGCGCTGGAGACGCTGTAGTACATATGCCAGGCCTGTAGATGGTGCTGTTCTCACAGAATCAGCCCATGGAAAGACAGTGTTAAATTGAGCGAAATGAGGAATGGCTAAAATGCATGATCTGTTTGGTATTTTGAAAAATAAAAAGTATAAATATGCCTTATATAGGTATGGTCCTACACTATATTATTCAAATATAGCATGATAGGTCCACTTTAAAATAAGCACAATGCGTCCCCTTTAAAAAACAAGATGTACTGTAGATCTATCCATGCTTAACACATGTGCCTGGCTATTATATAATGCTTTAATTACAATTTATATACGTATTAGGAAATTCAAGGTAATTATATTTTTAGAAATGTGATCTTCTGTGGTTTGCAAGAATATGACTATTCAAAGTGGATACAATTGTACAAATATATATGTACAGAGGTGGAAGAAGTACACAGATGTTGTACTTAACCCTTGTGCCCTCCTCGAATTTTCAACCTTTCGACCCCTTCGTGGCAGAAATGTACACGCCCTAAATAACTGCTATTAAATCATCATGCATCAATATTTTCTTCTACTTTTTTTTTAATGAATCACATAAACAACTTCTAACGTACTCAGAACTACCAAACATTCAATCATTGTCAGGATTTTAACCCTTTAAATAAAAAACAAAAACTCATTAGTTCGTCGAGAAGTTTCTGTGTAGTTTGTGTAGGGAGTTTTCTACCGGAAAAAAGGGTACCTACTAAACACGTACGAATGTCTAAGAGTGTCTAAGAGTGTCTAAGAGTGTCTGTGTGTGTGTGTGTGTGTGTGTGTGTGTGTGTGTGTGTGTGTGTGTGTGGTGTGTGTGTGTGTGTGTGTGTGTGTGTGTGTGTGTGTGTGTGTGTGTGTGTGTGTGTGTATGTATGTGTATGTGGTGAGGGGACCCCGGGGGACCATCAGTGTGTCGAGGTATTATATTGAACGTTTTTACATTCTTAAAGTACGTAGCCGGATGTCACCCTTTTAACACATTAGACAACCTTATCTCATCTTTATAGTTTATAGTGATGATTATGATAGAAGATTTACTTTACGACTGTAATGTTTTACGTACCAAAGTATGACGTTACCGTCACTCTAATTGCTTACACCAGACTTACCTTCAGTTGCTCCGTAAAAACTCTCTTTAATTTATTAAGTTTATTACTTTGTCCGCAAATTTCCCAATTTTAGGACTGTTACTAAATTTTTTTTTTATAACTACATACTACCAAATTATCGTCAACAAACCCCGCACATGTAAAAAAAGTGTTTCCACAGGTCTCCATCATAGACTATGATGCATTTTTTATTATTACGTCAGTTTATGTAAAACAACGATTAGAAACTGTGTAGGTTCTGAGATTATTGGTGGTTTCAAGGTAGGGAGATGATTAATAATATAACTTTTTATTAAGTAAAAAACACAAAAAAAAATTCTCTTTAATTTATTAAGTTTATTA